GAGCGGGGCAGAGCCGGGACAGAGCGGGGACAGAGCCGGGACAGAGCCGGGACAGAGCGGGGCAGAGCCGGGACAGAGCGGGGCAGAGCCGGGACAGAGTGGGACAGAGCCGGGGCAGAGCGGGGCAGAGCGGGACAGAGCGGGACAGAGCGGGGCAGAGCCGGGCAGAGCGGGGCAGGGCCGGACAGAGGGGCTGCCAGGAGCCGCAGGGAAAGCCTGGCCTGAGGCAGCCGAGCCCGAGGGGATCCACAGGGACCAGAGAGAGGCGCTGGCTGCAGGGACCGTGACTGGTGACAGGCTCTGGGGACGGGGAGCCCTTCGGCCTGAAAAACACCAGCCACTTTTTTCTTAAATTGTAAAAGTTTCATAGCGATAAAACGGTTATAAAAATAGCAATGTCATTAGAGAAATGGTAATTTGGACAATTAGGATTTAGGACAATGCAAGACAATGAAAACAAAGAGTTACGGACAGTCCAGGTACCTTTTCTGGGCAAAATAAGCCCGAAAAAGGACACCCATTAACAGAGGATTAACCCTTAAAAGCAACAGCCTGTTGCATATTCATACATCTCACACATGATGCATGAATTCCATTCAAACTCAGGATTCTGCCTGGTCAGTGTCAGCTTCTTCCTCTGAATCCTGATGGCCTCTCCAGGGCTGAGCGAGGTGGGAAGAAGTTCGTTTCTTCTGATGAGGGAGCAGTAAATTCTCTTTCTCTGAAGGATTCAGGTGTCCCGTGGCTGCTGTCTCACTGAGAGTGCCTCATTCCTCTCTTTAAAACAGCATCTTCCACAGCATAGTTTCTATTTTCACGTTATGTTATAACCCAAAGCTGTATTTAACACGCTGCTTAAGAGAATTGATACAGCACAACTTTCTGACATGACACGTACAACATTCATTTTAATACTTGGGAAAAGCCAATGATAAAATATGTATTTTTCACACTCAGGAAGCACCTTGGCTGTGCCAGGGCTTGTACCCCAGCTGGGAGCAGCCCCGTGGATGGAGACTGCCCCACCCAGTACGTTAACCAGCAGCTGATATTAAAGGACTGTTGAGAATCCTTTGTGATTTGAAATTGATAATAATTTCTGCCCTGTGAAAAATGCATATTTTATGATTGGCTTTTCGCAAATATTAAAATTAACAGTATATGTGTCACTTCCCTGCAGCTGCAGCAGATCCAGCTGATCTCCTCCTCAGTGGCTCATTGTCCACCTCCCTTTGGGAGAGGACCATGGATAATGAGGGTTAATGGACGGTGGATAAAGGATCATCTTCCTCAGCTGCCTCAGCCCCTCTGCAGCAGATCCAGCTGATCTCCTCCTCAGTGGCTCATTGTCCACCTCCCTTTGGGAGAGGACCATGGATAATGAGGGTTAATGGACGGTGGATAAAGGATCATCTTCCTCAGCTGCCTCAGCCCCTCCCGACTGTGCCAAAAGGAGCCGCAGCACCCCCAGCACTGCTCTGCCCACGCCCAGAGCCCGCAGGGGATTAACCCTGCAGGAACCCTGAAAATGATCCAGCTTAGAGCAGGCAGGTCAGAACTGCCCATGGGACTGGAAGGGCAGAGTCCCGAGCGCCGGGAGGGGCTGAGGGAGCTGGGAAGGGAATGGAGCCCCAGCAGAGGCTGAGGGAGCTGGGAAGGGAATGGAGCCCCAG